CCACCATGCCTGGCACTAGCACTATTTTGTTCTTTACTTATACTTTGTTCAGTATGATATTTAAAAATTGAAGGCTGGTGTGGTGGTTCATGCCTGTAATTCTAGCACTTGGGAGGCTGAGGCAGGAGGATCTCTATGAGTTTGAGTCCAGCCTCAACTACGTAGCAAGACCCTATCTAAACAAAACAAAACAAAACAAAACATTGCTCAATATGTTATAGATAATTTATTTTGGGTGTTTTACATATCATATCATTGCTTTCCTCCTTAGTCCCTCTTAAGTATGGTACTCACATTTTACAGATAAGAAAACTGATGCTCAGCAAGGTTAAGTGACTTGGTCTGAGACCAATAGTGGTAGATACTGTATAGTACTACATAACATGGTGTAACATTTTTCTTCGTTAAGTTATACCTTCAAATTGGTACCATAAGTTGTACCCGTGGCTAAGAGCATGACCTTTCAAACCAGACTAGGTTTGAATCTCAGTGCTCTCACTCACTTCTTAGCAATGCGTGTGGTCTTAGGCAAGTTGCTTAACTCAATTTTCTTTATCTACAAAGCAGAGGTAATTATAGCGTGCACCTACTAGCATTGTTGTGAGGATTAATTTTGCTTTTTGGAGATAGGGTCTTGCTGCATTGTCCAGTTGTCCAGGCTGGCCTTCAACTCCTAGGCTCAAGTGTACCTTATTCCTCAGCCTCACAAGTAGCTGGAGTTAAGAGGATTTAATGAGTTTAAAGACGTAAAATGCTGAGAACGGTGCCTGGCACATAGTAAGCATTCTCTATAAGTACAGTTGTTCCTCTGTATCTGTGGACCCCTCGCAGATACCAAGGACCCCTGGCAGATACCAAAATCAATGTGTGCTCTAATCCCATATATAAAATGGCATAGTATTCACATATAACTTCCACGTATCCTCCCTTACATTTTAAATCCCCTGTAGATTACTTATAAGATCTAATACAGTGTAAATTCTTCTGTAAACAGTTGTTATACTCTTGTTCAGAGAATAGTGGCAGGAAAGAAATTGTACATGCTGAATACAGATGCAGGGGTTTTTTGGTTGTTGTTTATTTGAGACAGGGTCTTGCTGCTGTGTAGTCCAGGCTTGCTTTAAACTTACTGTGTAGCTGAGGTAGGCTCCAACTCTCAGTGATCTTCCTGCTTCAGCCTCCTGAGTGCTGGGATTACAGATATGTGTCACCATGCCCCCAGCCTTTTGAATATTTCTGATCTGCAGTTGGTTGAGTATGTGGATATGTAACTCATGAATATGGAAAGTCAATTTTATTGGCTTAAAAAATTCAGTCTTCTTACTTGGGAATTTAGTGCCTCAGAAGGTGCACACATTATGCTGACACCAAATTGTTTTCTGACCTCTCCAGAGCTTTGGAGTTTTCTTAACTATAAGACAGACCATGTGGATCAGTTGCTACTTTTTAGCTTTCAGGACTCCTCCCACCCCATTCTTAACTGGATAATTCTTACTTTCCAGATTTTAACTTCTACATCACTTCCTCTGGGAATCCTCTGTTAACTTCCTTCCTTGTTTTCCACTCTCTGTGCCCACAGGGACTGGGGCTATTGACACTGTGTGATCAGGTCTGTCTTTACCACTATACTGTCTCACCCGCATCTGATCCATCGTTGACTCAAGGGCCCAGCGTGTGCAAACATAATTTTTTAGTATTGTGTGCCAGGCACTAATGTCTCAGTAATGCTAACTCAGTTCTCCCTCCTCCCTCCATGGTGCGTTGCGTATAGCCTAGGAGGAGATGACATGAGATAGACCCTTTCTAAAAAGGAGAAGGTAAAGACATTAGGACTGGTCCACTTCTGGGCTTTCCTGTCTTTATCCTGCCATAGTCCACATAGAAAATGATAACATTTGGATAACCCATTCAGTGGACTGGATGAGAATTGAACAACCTATTGACCCTGTATTCTTTGTGAATGGAGGCCATGCCTGTGCAGGGCTTGGTTAAAAAAAAAAGTATATTTTCTTTATATAATCATAAGTAATTTCATCATGAACCAGGCTATGTTAATGCAATCTGAGAATGGAAAAGACAATAGTTAACTGATTAAATAAAATAATATATATGTATACATAGGAATGCTGTCAGTTTTAGAAATAAGGAAGAACGTGGAAAGATTATTTGAAAAAAGTATTGTATGGAAAAGTCTTTAGATGGAAAGATTTCTAGGGTTTGTTTTGTTCTGGTTTTTGATTTTTTTGATACAAGGTCTTACTGTGTAGTTACTAACCTTGAATTCATTATGTAGCCTGGGCTGACCTTAGCCTCCCGAGTGCTTGGATTACAGGAATGTGGCACCACGGTCGGAGTTCTAGGATTTGTTAAGTGAATAAAAGCCAGTTGCCAACAAGACTACACTATGTTACCTTTCATGGTAGAAAATGGGGATAATAAGATTGTGTTTGTATTTGCATAAAGAAACTGATGAATGAGACCCTGTCTCAAAAAAACAAAAAGAAAAAGGATAAAATGGTCTTCACTGATAAATTGCAACTATACAGTGGATTGAGCCAAGTGTGGGGGGAGACCCCTTGAAATAAACTTTTCTTTGCAATGCTGAAGATTCAACCTAGGCAGGGCCTTGCCCACAAGTGATCTACCACTGAGCTATACCTTCAGTCTCTAAACACAGTTTTGTTTTTGCTTTTTGCTTTTTTCCTCACGCTTTTAATTTTGGAGCCATGTGATTATTATTACCTGTTACAAATGAAGAACAGTGGGCTGAGGGCAGAACTCAGGTAGAGTGCTTGCCTAGCATGTGTGAAGCCCTGCATTTGATCCTCAGAACTCAAAAAATTATCTATACTAGTGGAAAAATTTGAAAATTAAGTTGATAAGCTTCACATGAGCCCACAAAACAAAGCCCTTCACTGGTAAATTGCAACTATAGTAATAAGTAGATTAAGTGGCTGATTGCTGGGTGAGATGGGGGAAGGTGCCATGTGGTACAGCTATCTGTCCTCTAGGCTGGGTATACCTAGGACCCAAATAACGATAATGATTAAATCTGGGAAGGTGATCCAGTCCTACAGAGAGTGTTCAAATGCATTTTTTGCAGTGCTGAGGATCAAACCCAGTAACTTGTGTACACTAGGCAGATGCTTTACCACTGAGCTGCATCCCTTAGCCCCAGTACAATTTTAATTGTAATTTATTTTGTGTGTGTGTGTAGGGTACTGGGGGCTTGAACCTAGGACCTTCACACTGAACTATGTCCCCAGCCCTTTAAAAATTTTTTTTTTTTTAATTTTGAGACTGGGTCTTGTTATGTTGCTAAGTTGCCTGGGTTGGGCTTAAATTTGCAGTCCTTCTGCTTCAGCCTCCCAGAATGCTGGGATTGCAGGCATGCACCACCACGCCTGACTTTCAGTGTTTAAAGGGGGAGTGTTTTATCACTGAGAAAGTTCACAGTCATCAGTGTTGGTGGTGACAGGTAATCCATAGAACTAACCTGCCTGCCTGCTGGCTAGCTGATTAACAAGCAAAGGTAAAGGTAGGTCGTGGGGTGGTGGAAAGGCAAGGGAATTGAGGCTTTTTGCAGGAGTGCAATTGTAATGATAAGCCTGTGGGGTATTAGCTGGACGGGGAGGAAGGAGGAGTGGCTGATGAACCAGGAACTGAGTAGTGGATTCAGGTTTCTAGGAGGTTGAAAATAGGAGCAAGAGGTGTCTAAGGCTGCACACATCCATTTGTTTATTTATTTGTTGATTTGGTTGTTTTTTTGAGATAGGGGCTTACTAAGTAATTCAGGCTGACCTTGAACTCACTATGTAGTTTGACCTGACCTCAGACTCGAGGTGATCCTCCTTCCTTAGCCTCTCGAGTGTTGGGATTACAGGCATGTGGCGCCATGCTTGGCTAAGACTGCTTTTACTCTTCCAAGCTGTTCCAGGTGATGACCCAAAAGTGTAACATCTCCATCTCAGTGAGTGGCTGAGGTGGAATTGAGATCCATGTGGGTGAGGATATCAAAAACAGTAGGAAACCTGGGTTATTGGAAGAGTTTCCCAGTGATTCTCAGTTAACCCAGGTTGATGGTCATAGAGTTGGGATGAAAGTAAAGC